ACTGCTGTTCACTAATCAAGAATTCCTTCAAGAATTTGTCCAATTTATTCTTAATTTTCAAGAAATTAATATTGTTTTCTTCCAAATTGTTCTTATGAATTGATCTCTCTGAATCTAGGCAGTGGAAGAAGATGAAATTGGTGTTTAATATTCAATCTTTAATTGCATATAATGAATGCAGATTGCTGCCTGCCCACCAACGTGTCCTGCAGTTGTTGGTAGTGAATGTGCCCACCACCGTGTCCTGCAAATATTGGGAATAAAATGAATGTGATATATTTCTTTGTGGATGTTATTGTATATCTTAACCATTTGAGAGGATTTAAATTGATGGAAGTAGTTGTGTGTTTTTGTTTTCTTTGTATAGTTTCATTCATGTAAAATGTGTGGAGTGTACCTTATATTTCTGTTCTGACTGTACAATTTTTTTCTTTATTTATATTTTTAGATTACAATGAGTGTTAATCTTGTATGTTTGGCTAATGTAATCATACTGCTAGAGACATGATGAAACAGAAGTACCTAACCCTACTCCGGTGAGCCGCAAGGTTTTGAGAAGGTAATACATCTCTCCATTACAGTGAGATATAAGATCAAAACGACCTGATATTTGTTTTCCAGATAGTAAATTAAAAGATATGCAATATTAGTACCTAGGTCAAGTCTTGAACATATGAGAGGTAATAACATAGGAACAAGAATGATTGGCTATCTATTGTTTGATTGTTATAGCTGGTCCAAGATGTAGCCTTCTAATATCGTTATTTTTGGGACATGTCATCTTTTTGTACTTGCTCAGTGGTGAAAATAATCAACACTCCTCGATGTCGTTTGCTTCTACCAGACTAGCCAGGCACTACTTTTAGAAAAGAAAAATTATATGGGATTAAACGTATTTATCATTACTCATTCACATTGAACACGTTAACATTACCTTTCAATTAACACAACACGTGCAATGCACGGGCAAATGCTAGTAAATGGAAAAAAGAGTGAGAAATGGGATGACCGTTCCGGCCTAGTTACCATCCCTAATTTCAAACGTATAGAATAGACCAAATATCTTCTCCAAACTACTTTTTAATTCGTTACTTCACGTTCATCTAATCACATTCAGCCCTTGCACTTTCGGAAGTGAAGTCCAATTTCATTTCAAAGATTCTATAAAATGTCGTCTCGTTCATGATTCTCATAATTTGAAGTACTACTATCACAAAAATAATCATTGTAATTTTGAGAGATTTGTGCCGGTATTCATTAAACTCATTTTCCCAAGGAAAAATAGTTCAACTTTTGCCTCAACATAATTTATATTTCAATATTTCATTTGCCTACATTTCTATAAGTTCGTTTTAAATTGTTACTTTACCCGATTTATCTATTAGTATAGTGGAATAATGGTTGCATGCTTTTATAAACAAAAAAGGTATCGACTACTAAAATAAGAATGTTGTGTCTTTAATTTTTACATGCAAAATATTAAACATGTAAAAAGTGGCAATAATAAATCTACGAAAATGGAACTGATATATTATATTTTACTCATCAATCAAATGAAATTTTAATTTAATCAGTCCCAAATGTCTAAAATATTTGCAAAGTCAAGCTTGATGTCTTTAACTGTTTGTGACTACCTACCTATTCTCACTAAACGATGCTAAGAACTCAATCTATGTGTTCGACGAACACGCAGGCTATGTTATACTGAACATTATTAAAGGAGGAAAAAAGCTAGAATGTTGTTTATTATACTGTCCTGTCCAAAACACATGCAACCATTTTGAGATCTTGACCACCCTCTCTCAAGCAAAAGATACCAAGGAACTGTCTCAACTGGGGTCTGCTGCATCCATATATCTACACTATTAGTTACCAAAGGACTCCCATTTCTTCCATTACTAGTTTCCTTCTATTGCAAGCATTTACAATAACAGGTATGCTAGAGGATAGTTTCTGAATCTACGTAATTCTGCTAACTTGTAGTCGAGTAGATCTAGCAATAAATTCGACCAAGTTAGAATAAAGAATCTTTCGCCTATGCTAAATGTATCAAAGACATTATTTTAGGTATTATAGTCTAGACCTGTACCTCTCATTTTCTACCTGGAAAAATGAAAGGCAAAACTTTTAGTTGATTTGAGTGAAGATGGAGTTGTTTGAATTAATCAATAAAAAAGAAGAAAGTTGTATGGATTGGCACTTGCATAGAGCGCCGTGCAAAAATAGAAGAATCATTAAAAATGAAAGCTTTGCTTTCTGCTAAATCAATTTTTAAACGATCATAAACTAATCTTGTCTCCCTATTCCTCACCATCTTCACACGTTGCAGGGAGCTTCAAAGGTAAACGGTATTGCTGAGGCACCAAAATTTCAAAATACTGTCCAAGTTGTTCAACTAATACCACTAGCTAAATTGAGGCACCAAAATTTCAAAATACTGTCCAAAAAATACCACTTGAGTTGTTCAACTAATACCACTAGCTAAATTCAAACCATAAGATGCGGATTTAGCTAACAAATATGTAACTTTTGGTGGATTTATACCACCAGATTTTGATTTCACCCTTTTCGTCTCCTTTTTCATGGCCTTCTATACAGAAATTGCATTACTATTGAGGTTCTGCACAATTCCATCTATCTAATACGAGGTTAGGCAGTCATAAAATGGGATGCATACCTTCGAAAGAAGCAGTTACTCAATCATTAAGCTTCCAAGAAGAGTTGAATCGTGGCTTCCAAAGAACATCCAAAGCCATTCCTGTGTGGGAAGAATTGTTAACTTCCCACAACGCCAGTGAACAATTACTTGCCTTTGTTTATTCTGCACAAACTGCCAGTGAACTTACAAACAGAGATCCGAAAACAGCTGTTGTGACTGCTGAGATTGCCAAAGGAAAAGAATATGCAGAAAGCTCATTACAGCACCAAGATGCTGTAGGAACGAACGATTTTGGGAGATTGTCAAGGTCGAAAAGCTGTCAGATAATACCGGATAAGGAATTTTCTATACAAGATCCTCAGATTGAGGGGCTTGGTCAAAATAAATTAGATTGGAGAGAGGAGAATTCCAGAGGCTCTAGAAGCTTTCACACGGTCGAGGAATATGATTCCTTTCTAAAGAGAATTTATATATCCAACACAAGTGGTAGCGAATCCTTTCGAGATAACGAGACATCACTAATTGAGAATGTACAAACATTGAAACCTATGGATGAAGATTGTGATGATGGCAACATTCATGGAAATGCTGAAGATTTTCAGAAGAACAAATTTGACATTAATGAAGAACCTTCAGAGCACAAGAGTTCCAGTTCAAATTCAATGGAAAAATCAGATGATTTCAAGAATTATGTTCAAGAAGGAGCTGCGCGAGAGACAGGTTGGAAAAGGAAAGCTGTTGCGCAGGGGCTCAAATCACTTGATATGTCACCAGTCGAGTTTCCAGCCATTGCAAGTCTTAGGCAATGGCTTCATGTAGAGGGGCAAGTTTATTCTCCCGGAACTTATGTTACTCCAAAATTTGGCAGCTATAATAAGATAAATCCTGTGAGAAGGGAAGAAGATGGGAATCATTCAGTATTTAGTCCAGAAGTAGTGGCTGCTTTTGAAGAGTGCATACAGCAGCTAGAAGCAGAAGAAGAAAGCATTTTAAGCTATATTAATGGGTGTCTGCATGCTAATAATGAAATGGAGAACCATATACATGAAGACTACAACATGGAAATTTTGAATAAGTAGAGATGAAAATAGTCTCTCTCTTTTCTTCAAACAATTTGCAAGTACACGAAGCTGTCAAGGGTGATGCCAGCAGGTGATCCGGGCTACATGACAACCACTGGGAGTTCTTTTCCAATTATAGAATCCCGTCCATTTCTAGATAATTATTGATAGGGATGCATCGATCAATGCACTGATTGTCTGATTGTGCTGCATCAAAATTCCAACGGAAAGATTGGTATTCTTATATTAATCACGCTTAATAATTGATAAATTCGTCCGAATCATTTTAGTGCAAAAATCTACTAAAAAATTCTTTTCCAACAACAAATATATCTACATTTCAGAACAAAATCTCCAATTCCCTTCTAAAATATTCAAAATGTGCCTGATTTTGCCCAAAATGGGAATTTGCAAGCTCAGCCACCATGAGTGTCGGTATATTAGGCTAATGCAAGATTTCTACAGTTCATGAGCAGAATATTTCAAATTTTAGCCAGCAAGAGGCAATAAGAAAACGCATTCACCTAACATCTCGAATGAATGCCAAGAAAAATGCATCACTTACCAACTGAGCAAAATAGAGAAAACTCAGTTGACAGCGTGGTCCGGTGAGCAAGAACCACTTCGTCACATTCTTATGGGTTCTTTCTTCACATACTTGTGGGTTCTCCAACATTCGAGAGACCTGCACTAAAATAGAGAATTTGCTAAGAGAATAGTTTGAGAGGAAAGAGTTTCACAAAATTCTACTTGATTAAATTTAGTCTTCCATTTTGCCAGCCACCATTTTCATGGGATTAAATCTGCGAAAAGACTTAGCTATTATAGTTCAGCAATTTACAGATAAACAGCTCTCAAGCATCTCTTAAATAATTTCTTCAACTTGCTAAAACCATCAAATGTATAGTTTCTTCCAAATCAAAGAATCTTTTATTTGAGTTAATGGCAGACAGTCAATTCCCACTCAACTCCACAAAAGTTAATGATACGGTAGAAAATTCCATATACACATCAATTGCCATCAAAGAACGAAATCTGTCTTGTGCTATGATTAATATTTCATTTGTGGGTGCAACAAGATGCAATCCAAGCTTCATATATTCACTTCTATGGAACACAAATAGGCATTATTTGAGGACACAACAGCGATCTGACAACAAAGTTATGCAAGTGTGCCACCTCAGGCTCCTTTCTTGAGAATGTAATACGAGATATGTAACCTGCGTCATTCTACAAGAAAGTTTTACTCCAACAATGTGTGCAAAGGAATCAAATGGTATTCACAATAGAGTGTCTAGATACGAGTAGTTCCTGCATCGGTTGTACTGAAAAAGGCTACCATAAGTGCGATCCCACACTCCAATGAAGAGAGAATCTGTATCAGGGCTGAAAGAAAGCCCAGAGATCTCGCCAAAAAAATCAATCTCTTGTTCTTTCTCAAAACCATTCTTCACATCATAGACATGGACAAAATCAGCTGGCTCAGCCATCGCCATGAATTGCCCATCAGATGTGAAACGGATTGATCGAATAGCACCTAGATTTCCTTTAAGTACATCAACTGGCTTTGACAGGTTTCGAGCATCCCATATACGGCAAGTCTTGTCCTGGTTTCCAGTGGCAAAGATGTGACCATTTGGATGCCATGCAGAAGCAAAAGAGAAGTCCAAGTGTCCATGTAGATGCGTGACAGTCTACCATCAAAAAAGAGTCAATAAATGAAAAAATTCTTAGTCCATTAGCTACTCCGGAATTCTATATCAGATCTTTCCACAGTTCAATTAGTTTCAGAAATGGAAAATCAGGGATACTACCTTCCCAGTTTGAGAATCCACCAGCATTCCGTCAGGGTTGTCTCCAACAATAACGACGACTTTGCCATCTGGACTCAGTGAGGTATGCTGTAAACAAACAGAGCATGATGGTTATACCCTTCGAAATGGACATGAACTATAAACACACAGAATGCTGTATCATTATATACTTATAAATGGGAAAAAATCAATCTGCACTATGAACACACAGAAAGCACGATTGCCATACCTTTTAAAATGGAAGGGAACAAGTTAAATACAAAGCTAATCAATTATTTCCAATATAAAGCTTATCACTCTAAACTTTCTGGAAAATATGCCATTGGGTGTATCATATAAGGCATACATAATTTCATATCAAAACAAAATAAGCCCAAGTCTCATTAATCATCTCCAAGTTATCAATTCTATAACCTGTAGTGGGCTCAATCTTTGCTTTGCAGCCCCAAAACTGACCCTCATGCACAAGATCTGGTGGTTGCTAGTTATGAATAAAATTATCATAGAAAGAGCACATTCCCAAACCTCATCCTCATGAAACTAGCTGGTGGTTGCTTTATGTGAAAATATTTAGGGACTATATAAAGAGAACATATTGAGATCGCTGTGATAGGTACATACATTCGACAGTTGGTAACAAATTGATTAATGAGAATAAGGAGCACTGAGAAGTTATTCTTCCATGATCTCTCATGAAATATTGTTACGAACAGGTAGATAACCACTTAATTTCAATCCATGTACATCCAAGGAAACTGACCTCCCAGAATACACCCTCCTCTCTGGAACAAAAAAAATAACAGCACTAAACCATGAGATTCAATTGTGGCAGCAGCGGTTCAGCATGCACAACACTCGTACACTGATAAGTTCGATAATACCATAAACAGCAGCAAATTAATTGATCTTTCCCAAAGTCAGAACAGTATTATGGCTCTATTTTCAGACCATCGGTCTAATGTTCTTTAGGTTATATACACACAGATTTGCATTAATTGATCTTACTTATCATCAAATACCAAATAGAGAACTTATCAAGATCTTCTTTCTATTGTTTCAACTTCAAATCTCACTCGTGCTAGCTTTCTGCAAGCAGTTAATATCCTCCCATTAAAATGCATACATAATAAATTCAACTTGACTACATATACTACCATATTTCTCCTTCGATAAAAATCAATGTTGCAACTTTAGGACCATCTCAA